AGCTCCTGAGCTTGAGCCACCACCTTCATTCTCTTCATCATTTCCTGTTGTTGACTGACACTGATGTTGAATTAAGATACAATTATTCATAAAGTATATAGATCTATTTACCATAAAATAAAATATTACTAATACATAAAGTATACTAGTGACAAAATTGGGTGTAAATACATGCACTATTTTTAAGGCAATGACAATACCACCCTACATTTAGCTAGTTCATTTTTCCTTTTTATAAATATTTGTTAGAATTTATTTTACAAAATTTTGTTAACCAGCTACAAACCCAGAAGATAAAACAGAGTTTCGTTGTCATTAGAGACTAAAAATTATTGCTTCTAATAAGCTAAAAGTGATTATTACTGAAAAATAATGATAGCTCTAGAATAGTTAATCATATAGTCTAGTTGCAAATAATTTTCTAATTATCTAATTTCTATAATGACAAAAAGTAATATGCATATTTCATTTTTCTGCTGCTTGTTATAGTTTTCTATCTGGGTTCATTTGTTTGTTTCACCAGGGCTCACTGGTTCATTTCCATCTGGTTCGTTTCCATCTGGTTTGTTTCCATCTGATTCGTTTCGTTTCCATCTGATTCGTTTCCATCTGGTTTGTCATTTCCACCACCTAGGTTATTTTCATCTATTTCGTTTCCATCTGGTTCGTTTCCATCTGGTTCGTCATCATTTGAGCTCACCAAGCTCTCCAGTTCAGTTTTATTTGAGTTCACTGATCTATTTCTACCTGTGTTTACCAGTTTTTTGCATACTAGACCTATGTCAATATATAAAATATGCTATATAATGCTTATTTGCATGATGTTATACTGAATGACATTTTATCAATAAAAGCATTGTAAAACTAAACACAACACATGAACTAGTATGATCTCCTATGCTAGATCCAACCCACTACTGGAGCCAAGACTAATTAATTAGCTACCTATATTAAAATTTCTATTTGAAATTAATTTAATTGTCAAAATGCCCTCAGACTAAAAGTAGGATTTTCAAATTTAACAGTTTAGTTTCAAATAATACAAATGACTGCCAGTACCCATCATTAGACTCATAAAGAAAGTTTAGTTTCAGCTAATACACTTGTTTTGAACAATGCAAACATTTTTACCTAATATTATTGAGCAGACTATTACGGCTATTATTGCCATCAAAAGTAGCACTCCTAATACAGAAATTGCTGCAATACATCCTCCACTTAGTTTTTCACAATCCTCCATTGGACAAGAGCTAGCAGAATTACTTTCAGAAATTGTCATTTTACATTGATCTACAAAATACCCAATATAAGAACACTAACATGATGCAGTAAATTCTATACTAGTCTACGTACTTTTTGCCTGTTCAGAATCAGAATAGTGCATTTCATTATGAGGTAGCTGTATATTCTTGTTCCATTCTCCTTCATTTGTTACCACTGATTCATTATTAACAGTGATAGAGTCATATGATATATTATAGCTTAGATTTGCATACTGTGGGTCTGATGTGTTCAATACCTGCAGTACTTATATAATAGACATTAAATTTTGTTTCTTATACTTACCAGTTGTATAAAAATTGTGATATTAGTACAACAGCTATCACTACAATCATCAGTAGTACTATTTGCAGTAATAGTAAAATTGAAGCTAGGAGTGCCTAGACCTAGTAAAAATTCAAAAATAAAGTAATAATGAACCATTGTCTTGTACCGTTATTATTTTGTGGTGATTCACACTGAGAAGTAATTGTATCATTACCTGTATAATAAAATATTCAATTAAAATTAGATGTAAACCACATTGTTGAACTGTATATTCTTACCAAGTGTGAATGGTTCACTGTTGTTACTTTGCTGTTCATTCCATCCTCTAACAGTATATGTATAGGTTACATTTTCTAATAAGTCGCTTGAGTTTATAAGTATGGCTGTTTCATTAGTACTATACATCAATACACTGGTTGATGCACATGAACAACTAATAACAGTCACTTGATACTCAGTAGAAGTACAGTTATTCCCAGTGTCCTTCCATTGTAAAGTAACTCCACTTGCATCAAAGGTTGTTGTTAAGTTTGTCGGTGCTTTTGCATAATAACCTATTATGCATATACAAAACATTGAAAAGGGTAACATATTTGTTTACTCTTTTTATTACTTTTAAAACATGCATTTTACATGCATAACTCACATGCAGTTTTATCGTACTCTGCATTGCCATTTTTACATTGTGATATATTTAAGCTTAACAAAATACAATTGCCAAATTGTTGTATGTGCACACTAACCTGAATCAGTAACTGTTTTGTTCATTTTATGAATCTCATCTCCATTTGCACATTCAACGAGTACACTCTCAGAGTGATTAAGATTAAAGGTCAGTATTGAAGTGTTCAGACCTGTATAAGTTGTATTAAATGTGAAATTATAACCATAAAATTCTTTATCCTCAGTGTTCATTGTATGAAATAGAACTTCTAAGATTTGGTTCCACATCAAAGATTCTACTGGACGTAGACGGTAGCTTATAGACCATACTAAAGCACCAGTATCTGTTGTGCAGCTGCATTCTATTCTATCCCCCGCACATACTGGCCCATCAGTACACTGAAAGTTAGTGATAGCACAATCTGTATAAAAATTAATAGATTATTATTATCAAATGATTTTACACAGTCATAGACTAATGTTAATGTTTGAATGGTATCAAAGGCTTACTTGTCAACCCAATACAGACTAGTATGAGTCCTAATAACAGAGCTGAAGCCATTATCACTCCACACAATTGAATTGAACTAAAAACAGCACAATCACTCCAGTATAAAGCACAAACAATGACCTTAGTATATTCATATCCATAAGGGACAGATCAGCTTCCTGTTCACATAGTGACATATACCCCTCCATTTATTGCACATTTATTCCTAACTGTAACGTGATACAACTGGCTAAATATATGCATGCTGTGCAGCATGAAATTAAACACCTTTGGTATGTAAACAGAGACACAGCTTATTGCATACACAGCCAAGAATTATCATGCTGATACAGTACTACTGCCCAAAGTCAATGAATCAGGTCTAATTACTTAAGTGATACAGTCCTTATAGGCTATCAGGACTGTATCACTTAAGTAATCAGGCCTGATTCATTGACTTTGGGCAGTAGTACTAGTACTGTATCAGCATGTCTGACCATGATAATTCTTGGCTGTGTAGATAAGCAGGACAGGAAGTGAATTTAGCTGAAGAGCCCCTCCCACTCCTTTTGTTTTGTACTGATTGGAACCATAAAATATTTTTCCATTAAATGTATTTTATACCTTAAAATTTGTGATCCAATTCTTAATTCTCATTTCTCATCTAAATCTAGCATTAGATCTAATAAAACCTGGAGGAGGCAGCATTTTTTCATAATTTATTTAGCTCAGAACAGTCAATGGAATGGAAGTTATTTTAACCTTTGTCAGCCTATGACCTGCATGTATAAAAGCAGCTGCTGCTGCACCAAAAGCTAGTTGGAAATCATACAAACATAAAGTCATTATAGCTACTATGGAGTTGTTTTTTCTTTTTTTGATGCTACTACAGTTTTTATCAACCTCAGGTTAGCTTATCAAATTGATGCATGATCTTATTAATTAGTGATTCACTTTTGCAGATGGTCTAATAAATTAGACAATGTGAATTAATAAGTTAGCATTGTCTAATAAATCACTTGAATTTATATCTAAGGTTGTGTTGCTAGTATTAGATCTATACATCAATACACTGGTTGATGTGCATGAACATAAACTAATAACAGTCACATTATACACAGTAGAGGTACAGTTATTCCCAGTGTCCTCCTATTCTAAAGTAACTCCACTTGCATTGAAGGTTGTTGTTAAGTTTGTCAGTGCTGTACCTATTATTGATATATAAAACATTGAAAATAACATTCATTTGCTCTCTTTTTACTGTCAAAACAACTTGTGTGCATACCGGTATTGCTTTTAACAAGCAAGTATAATATAGTTATCACTTTGTCATGATATGGAAATCACACGTAACTTTATAGTGATCAAATGTATAGCTACTACTATTTTTCAATTGATGTGACACTACTGTTATTATTAAAATCAAAAAATGACAATAACTTACTGTGAATTTTAATTCTAATTATATAATATTTTCTACCAAAAGTACTCTTGTTCCTACCAATAACCAAATGACACTTATTAAAGCCTATTCAATTGTTATTCCCTTATGCTTAGTTGCATAAATGCATAAGTATTTGCATGAGAAGTATAATTAGTATGATGATTATGAATATAATCCCAACAATGACTACAATGAATCCAATGACTTTAAAAATAATTTCTATAATGCACCATGTGCCACATCCTCCATTTCCTCCGTTACTACCATTATTTCCATTTCCTGGTGGTTTACATTGATATTCAGTGATATTTGTATCATTATCTGTGTATATAAATTACTCAATATATATCAACTATTGTATACACAACATACTTATTGGCTCTCCTGTGATAAAATCATTTATTGGTATGACTGTAAAGCAATAGGTCTCATTGTGTTCTAATGATTCAGTCCATTCTGTTTCATTTATTTTAAATGTTACTGGTTTATCTTCAGTATTAGAATTGTATGATATTTCGTAGTTCTGACTTGGATGCTTTAAACACATGTCTGATGATTCCTACATTAATTGTTGGTTAGCTTTATAAAAATCATTATCTCTCACCAGTATTATACTCAGTGTAACATTAGCACAGCAACTATCATTTTTACAAGAATCAGTAGCATTAGTTGTATCTATTGTAACACTCATTACTTCAATGGGAGCTACAAATCAAAAGTAAACGCATATTGTTTAGCTATGTACTATATTCTTACCAAGTGTGAATGGTTTACTGATACTACAGTGCTGGCACCTTTTAACAGTGTATGTGTAGGTTACATTTTTAAATAAATCACTTGAGTTTATATGTAACGTTGTGTCACTAGTATTATACATCAATACACTGGTTGATGTATTATCATAAATAGCCACGTTATACTCAGTAGAATCACAGTTATTCCCAATATCCTCCCAGTGTAGAGTAACTCCACTTGCATTGAAGTCTGTTGTTAAGTTTATTAGTGCTTTTACATAGCCTATTATTAATAATAATACAAAACATTGAAAGTAGCATCATTTTTTGTTACATTACTTTCAAAACAACTATAGTATGTATGTCTAACCTGCGTCAGGGATTACTAGAGTTGCACCGTCTCTTTTATCACCATTTCTACACGTAACAGAAACACTTTCAGATGTATTCAAATAAAAGGTGAGGCTTGAGCTGTTGTTATCAACATTATGGGTAAAATTGTATCCATAATATTCTGTAGCATTATCAGTTGTAGCTGCATTGAAATGTTCTGATTTGACATGTATCAAGTTCTGATCACACGATCCTAGTGCTATATAACTGATGTTCCAGTCTATTGTTCCAGTACTTGTTGTACAGTTACACTCCACTTTATCTCCAGCATACACACTTCCATCAGTACATTGAAATTCAGTCACATCACCACCTACACAATCATAATGTTACCTGATAATGTTCAAATGGCATCAATGGCTTACTTG